CCATTGCTGTCACGCGGGTCAGGCAGGCGCTGAGAGTCCCACTGACATTTTTATATGATAAATTAGAGCTCGGGCTTGGATTTTGCTCTCTCCTCTCTGTGCCCCCCTCCAGACCTTAAAACAAGCTGGCTCGGGGGTTCACCGGTCGAGAGGGGTTGGTGGGAGGGTAATGCTGGCGATGCCTCTCCGTCTGCAGACACAGGCGTGGGTGGGAGGAGAGGGATGCTGAGCAACACACCGGGCATTTCTGCTGCTCCTTGGGACATTTGCTGATGCCCACCCTGGTTTTGCTGGCACATCCCAGCTAGCAGGGGACACCTGGGCATCCATTGAACTTGTGTGCCCTTCCAGGGGACATTTGCTGCCGTGGGAGGTACCCACAGACCTCTTGGTCAGCAGGGAGATATAGAAGATTTGGGTGGATTTTTGTGTGTGATTTCCCGAGCTGTCCATGGCCCATGCAAGGGTTGGGGTGGTCTCTGGGCTGCAGGGTTGAGTTGCAAGGGCCACCCCTTCCCGCATGATGCGTTGGGCTGGTGACAAGCATTCACGTCTAGCAGAAGGGTACCAAACATAGCTGGCACAACCAGCAAAGATCTGGCTCAACACTTAGAAGGAACCTCCCCAGGAAGGATAGAAATCCCTTCAGCGAAACCCCAGGCAGCCTCCCCACCTGAACTGACCCACCTTTGGCTTTGTTCCCAGGCTCAGCATCACCTGCGACAGCACCGAGTATGAGATGAACCATCTCTACCCGGCGGTGGCTGAGAACGTCCACGAGTGCTACCTCCAGAAGGAGCCACTGCTCTTCAGCTGCGCGGGCTACAACACCAAGTACCGGCGCCTCTGCCCCTGCCGTGACTACCGCAAAGGACAAGTGGCTCTGTGCAGGGACTGCTTGTGACCTGGTGTGTCCCCTCCCCGTGACTGCGACACGCAACGTGCAACGAGTGGCTTTTTCTCAAAGCTTCTGCAATAGCCGAGGGAGGTGGGACAGGTCCCTCCCGGCGGGTCAGCTGGGGGTGTCAGACTCTGGGGGTTGTTTTGTCCGCCAGTCAACTGTGAATGACCATGTCCTGACCTTCAGTTTCGTTTTCTTCTCGAGGAGCATCGTCCGACCGCATCCAAACCCACCTGGACCTGGTGGTGCTGGGACAGGCTGGTGGGGAGAGGGGGGCCGGGGACACCCTTCCCCTCCTCTGGCAATGGGACAAGCCACCAGCAGACTGCAGTTTCAGGGTTTTCATCCTCTTCAAGCATCCTGGGTTGTTTTATTTATTGATTTGTTTCTTTTTTTAACCCTTCCCCCTGACAAGTGGTAAATTAAAGGGGAAGCAACACCCACCCCTTCTGTGGGAGTTATTGGGCAGAGCTGTGTTGGGGGGCGCAGGGGGGCTGCCGGTGCCTACCCTGGCTGCGGAGCTGGGGGAGGACAAATCCCAAGGACAGCGGCTGGGTTGGGTGGATGCAGCGGGGTCTGCACCCACGGTGCCCCCAGAAAGAGCCGGTGGGGGCTGGACGGCACCCAGGCTGTCCCCAGGAAGCGAGGGGTGGGATGGGGCTGGGGAGGGCTCCCAGGAAGGCTGCTGGTCCCCGGGGCAATGCTGCCAGCAGGGCGGAGGTGCCTGAAGCGAGTGCCCCCCGGCTGCTCTCTGCCCTGCTGGGCCGTGCATGGAGCTGTATGTCCCTCCAGGGACCAAGGCATCGCAGCTGGCGGTGGGGACACGGGGGTTGCTCGGGGTTCGAATGAGGAGGCAGGAAGGAGGTCGTGGTGCAGCATCCGAAAAGAATGGCCGGTGGGCACAGACTGAGGCCCCTGGCGAGGGGGAAACTCAGCAGCGGTGAAAGCAACATCGTGTCTGTGCCGCGGGAAGAGGTGAGCTCCAAGCAACCATCTTCCATGCACGGTCTTTGCTTCTTTAACTTTTCTTCGTACCATTCATCTCACTTTTTGGGAGTTTTCCCTTCCCAGCGTGTCCCCTTGCTGGTAAGTTAGCGCCGGCTGGGATGACGAGGTTTGTTTTTGTAGGGTTGCTCACCGGAGCAAGGCTGCGAGTGTGTTGCTGTGAGGCTGGTGCTCAGCTCTCCTGTTGCTCCAGGTGCTCGGTGGTGAGACTTCTCCATCCCGTAAAACACGTGGCTAGAAAGTTGCAGGCTGGAAACTCCCTCCCAGCCCTTCCCTGCGTGGAGGAGCTCCCAGCCCAGCCGGGGCGGAGGCTGGTGGGGTGGCAGCCTGTCCTGCTGGTGTCACTGCAGGGTCCCAGGCCCTGGCAGGCTCATCCCCCCGTCTCGAGGTGGCTGATGGAGAGCAGTGGCACGGCATGAGGTCTCCCCCGTGACCCAGCCGCTTGCTGGAGCTGTGCCATACTGCCCCGGCACCTCCAGCCCATCCTCCCCATGGCTCAGTGCCATGCAGCCGGGTTTTGGGAGAAAACCCCATTCCTTCAGCTGTGCAACAGCACCGGGCAGACCCCAGCGCCCCCTCCCAGCTCCCCTCGCCATCCCCCCGCTCTGGCTCTGGGAAGGGGGGACACTGCACGGTGCTTGTATCCTCTGGGCATCCCTTGGGCCAAGCCCATGGTGAACCTACCGCGGCAAGACCGGCCGCAGCCTGTGCCAGATGAGGCGGGAGCTGGAGGCACCGCCATTATCCTGGAGCAATTTGTCATCTTCAGCGCAGAATTGCTTAGGCAGCCTCCATCCCAGCTGCGACGCCAGACAAGGGGAAGAATTGATTAAGTAATTTTTGTGTCTTGCAGCCAGCATGTGTATAAATAAAAGC